GGGGTCGGACTAGATGATCTGCCCAGGTCCCTTCCGACCCTAGAAACTATGAAACTATGATCCACTAGTACAGTACTAGACTGGGAGTTAGGAAATCTGGATTCTATTGCCATCTCCTACACTGATCCCCACATAAATTTAGGCAATCTGTGTCACCTCTCTTTATTAGTTTCAAGTCTATACAATTGAGAGGAGATTTAGAAATCTATGTGCGCTATATGATACATACTTATTTTTCATTCATATGCTATCTGGAATAGGGTGCATTTTCTAGCAAACAGGTCTGATCACAACCTGGGAGCCTATAGTCAATCAAGTCTGCATCCATGATGTCATGGATTAATGTAATACTCTCTTGTTCCAGCTGAGACTGCAGCTCTGGGAAGCCTATTGCCAAGTCAGATATCTTTGCTCTCATCTCCGAGGAAATGACAGTGCAGACTCTGCAGTCTCTACAGACTCCTCCATGGATGAATCTTCAGAAACCTCATCAGCCAAAGATGTCCCAGCTGGCAGTCTACGTGCTGCTCTCAGTGAGCTGAAGAGACTAATACAAAATGTTCTGGATGGGACAGATTCCACGGTAAGTCAGTAGTCTAAAGGAGTATTTTTGCTGTAACTGTTCATGCAAGGCAAGGTGGTTTAGTTTGGTATGGATGGATTACTTTTAAATGCTTATTCTTTGGGTATTCAGAAATCCTTCTGTGTAGCCCTTCAAGCTGGAACAGCCTGGTACAAAATCTATTTCCAACAGTCCAATATATTGTTCAGAGACCAGCAGTGACATGTGCCAGCCCAAAAGATTTAAACTGAGGTCAGCAGCACCTCAGATCTGCAGGCCAGATACAGGCTATCTGGCCTGCAGAGCTTGTGGGGCTGTGCCTGCGCATGTGTCCGGGCCAGGACTGGAGAAGCTTCCAGCTGAGCCTGTACTGCTTTTGCTTCTCCCTGCTCTCCCAGCTCCAGTCCAGCAGAGGCTGAGTGGCTTTGGTGGTGTGCATAGGGGACGAGTTCGGGGGGGGAGGGCGTGTGTGTGTGTGTGTCCCAAGATTGCTGGTGCCCCCTCTGAGTGAGCACTCCGGCTGGTAGGGGGCATGGAAAGCAATAATGCCCCCCCTGAAATTGGCTCTGCTGGAGGCACGTCAGCAGCGGAAATGCTGGCAGTGGAAGTGCCGGCACTTGCACCACTGCCATGCTGCTGGTGCGCTCAGCAACTGGCCACTGGGAGACCCACCTCCCCTGGTCGTGCCCTGCTGGTGCCCCCCCCACAAACTCAGGAGGCACCAGTCACCCATGGTGGCGTGTCAGCAGCAGGGGTCTTTTCCCATGCCCACACTGGGGCCAGGCAGCTAGGAGCTGTGCCCATGCCACCACTGCTTTCCTCAGCCTCCCTGCTTCCCAGCTGTGGCATGGGTGCAGCTTCCAGTCCATGGGGAGCTATGACGGGGCAAGACCGTTGCAAATGTGTCTTTGCTGCTGCCACTTCTCCTCCTCCTCCTCTTCCTCCTCCCCATTTCCCCGCCCAGCTATAGTGTGGGCACAGCTTCCAGCTACTGGGCAGCCATGCTGAGGTCAGGCATCTTTCAGCTGTGCCCATGCTTCAGTGGGGTGGGGGTGTGGAAGGGAGGACTGGGGAGAAGGGGCAGTGTGAATGTTTTTTTTTTTTTCTAGTTCCCTGGCCTTGGCTCAGCTCCCTACAGGCTAGAAGGTGCATTTGCTCTGCAGTCAAGGAGTGAGAGCTAGAGGAAAGGATGGCAGTGCAGGCACAGTTCCCAGCTGCCTGGCCCCAGTACAGACATGGGGAAGACTTTTTGGCACTGATGCTCTGCCAAAGCCACTCGGCCTGCCCTGGACCAGAGCCAAGTTGTCCTAGCCCATGGCTAGGAGCAAGTTGCTGGTCCCGGATCTGAAGCTAGCAATTATTAGCCCCCTGCCCCCCTCCCCCTAAGTTTTCAAGGTTGAATTGAGAGATTTGTCCAACTATTACTAGTTCAGGTATCATCCTGAAAAAATCATGAGACCAGGCTTTCTTGAAAGATTTCTAGTAAGTCCATTATAGCCATCTTGAAAACGCAGCAAATTTTCTTTTGATTTGTTTACTTCTAATTCTGATCAATATCCCTTGGTCCTGTTTCTTAAGCAATGGTATCAAGAGGCCTGTGAGTATTAAGTCATATTTAAGAGTTATCTGAGACTATCTCTGTAATATGGTTAGATACATGTTTCTGTGATAAACCGCTAAATGTGGCCCCTATGCCTGGAGAAAGGTGCAACTGGGCACTAACAATCCTATTTGTCTTGGGATGCTGTAATTTTCTGAGATCAGCTTCTTTCCTCAGCCCGGTGACTGACATCATGAAGGAGATCTGCAGATTCTCTTTTTGGAGAACTAGGACAACCTTAATGAGGAAACAGAGGTTTCTTCTTTCATGGTGGCTAAAATTTAAATCTTGAACTCCCATTAGCTGTATCTTCAAGATCTGTATGCTCACCACATGGGTACAACCAGCCTTCGAGAGACTCCATTGTGGTGTGTCACACAAAAATAAGCCAGGAAGCAGTGCAGGCCTGCAAACCCCAGACATGGATGGGAACACTAAACAAATCAGTGTCAGTGACTGTAGGAACTGAGATTGTAACTGAAATAAAACATAGAAGTCAATTGTATTTGTTCAAGAGAGAATAGAAACAATTCTATAAATGATTAAATATATCATTAATAGTTATTTGAAAGTTTTATGAAGAGGTAAACTTGAGAGCTGTGTTGTATTTCAACAAAGAGGTCAGGGCTGAAGATTGGACAGTGTGTCTACATCTCTTTCTGTGACCTGTCTATGGCTGTTTTCTATCCAAGCCCAGGAGTTATGTTCATGATTGGCTGTATTTTGAGTGCTCCTAACACTGCGTAAATATGTGGGAATGTTCACTATAAAACTGATACTCTAATAGAGTGGCCTTCTCATTTTCCTTTTATTCTCCTTAGAATTCCTACCAAATTGGTACAAATGTAATGCAACCTATAGTTTAATGCAACCTGTGGTGGGGGGGGTTTAATGAAAACTGAGCAGGGTGTTTCTCTTGCTGCCAGAGCTCTCGGAGAAGCGATGACGATGCCTTAGAAGAACAAATCAGGAGAACAAGTGAAGACTCAAGAGCTCTGAGGGAGTTAATGGAGGGAGAAAGGGGGAAACTGAGGCAAAGCCTAGAAGAGCTCCAGCGGCTTCACAGCCAGGTAAGCAGTCCCTGCACTTTGAGGGAAGAAGATTCCAAGGACTCTCAAGGGGAGCTTTGGAATATGGGAGTTTGGCATGTTCTTCTAGGACCCGTTTGTGCAAGTGATCACAGCCCTGTATGAATCCCTATTCAGTAACCCAATATTGTTCTTCCAAGCGTGGATTCCACTGCAAGTGTGTCTACACTTCATGTACATGAGATTGGAGGTTTTTAATAAGTATCTATAGGGGTTGCAGAGGGGCATTCCACTTCATTGTGCTCTCATACAAGCCTACAAAGGGTAAAGCAGCCACGATCTTCATTCATTTCCCTCTTACCATCTGTAGCAGCAACACAGAGCCAGCAAATGTCTAATCCACCTGTCTTCAATATTTCTTCAAAATTATCCCAATTTTTTAGGATTTTTGGTCTCTCATACTCAACTGCCATTAATTAATCTGACCTATCTGGACCAAAAGCTTTCTGGTCAAAACCCCACAGTGCACATGGCTTCTTAATATGGTGAACACAAGGTCCCTGGGCTTCAAAACCCATCAGTCCCACAGTGGGCTAATGCCCCTTGATGGATGTACATAGTGGGTGCATCTACACATGCAATTAATTTGAAATAATAAACTCTGGAGCAGTTTGAGCTGGAGTAAACAACTTCCAGGCCCAGCATCTACATGTGTGCCTGGGACTACAGCAATTTGAGCCAGGGTGGAGCAGTTTACACCAGGGATGTTCCTGTCCTGCTCTGCTCCAGGTGGTGGCAGCGGATGGTGGAGGGACTGGCAGGGGCACAAAGGTGCTGAAAGTGCAGAGCCATGTGGCTAGGCAGCAGGCAGGAGTCTGGTCCCATCATGCCTGGGCTAACCTGGCACAATTTAGGCCCGTGGTCAGCAGCTTACATGTGCATTTAACCTCATTATTACTCCACTGTAAAATAGTACTGTTCCCAACAGTACAATCTTACTGCAGTGTTAATTAGTTTACTGCAGCCTAATACCATCACTTGTGTAGATGGTGACACTTCACTCCAAAGCTACTTAGTCTACTCTGCAGTAAAGCACATGTGTAGATGTGGCCAGTAAGTGTCTTTTTGTTCCTGGTGAAAACACACATTTGGACCAAGTATGTTCATCCTTTGTTTCTAGAATACACAAGTTAACAGTCCATAAAAGTTTTGTAAGATCCTGATTAAATGATATCCAGAATTCTACTAATGGACAAACCAGCATCATCCCGACACCACATTAACATCTGAGACTGGTGCAAAGAAGATGACACAAAGGAAAGATCTTGAACCAATATTGGCTCCTATGTCCCCACCCATAGGTCTAGCTAAAACATATATGCCAGCACCAGTATCTTTAATGCCTGAAGCTAGATACTAAAATAAGCTATTCCAGACTCTGAATCAGAAGTTCAAGACAGAGTTTGGTGTTCTTTCCAAAGGCTTTGCAGTATCTGCCTTTTATGGGAGAAGTCCACTAAACCCTGTATAACAATGGTGGCTTGCAGAAGGAATAGACTGTAGCAAACCAAACTTCACAGGCATTGGTTTTCCACTGATGCGCACCAGTCAGCACTAATTCTGGCCTCAAATGATGAAACTAAAGAAGAAATTGAATCTGCTGTCTGCCCCAATACCCCTATCTGCACTGATCCAGACTTCAGTAGTAACAATGTTTTATCAGAACTGCACCAGACTCCTGCCTGCTCACTTAGGTTGCATTCTGTCCTTGTCATCAGAGAATCCTCTCTCCTGTGGTTTAACTGACATTATCAAGAACTACCTATATGGTTCTCCTCCAGGTTTAAGTCATTATGAGCCCATCAAGACTGTCACTAGACTGGTCAACACCAAGTTAATTGGTCTTAAAGTATGGTTCTTTGGATGTACAATTGACCACTGTCACAGGCATTGAATTACATGGGCTTAACCAACTTGTTCCCAAAGTCACACTCAACAGTAGGAGAACATCTATATATTTTAGACATCTCCAAAGTTTTTCTGTAATACCTCAAGAAGACCAAGTCTTCAGGTTCTCTCCTGCCTACTTCTGAGCATACCGGCACACCAAAAGGCCAATAGAAGAATCTCAAAGCAAAGCACAATATAATTATACCTCTTATAAAATGGTTGCTTCTGCCTGCTCAAGATATATGCCAATCTCTGACATTTGCAAGGTAGCTAGCAGGCACAACTAACTCTTTCTCCCACTGTTCACCTGATAAGGTAATTGGGTTACATGCCATATTTGGAAGAGCAGAGCTTCCCTCACTGCTTTATTGATATCAACTAAACCTATTAATTTCCGCAATCTAGAGAGGATGCTATTTACCGGTCACCTGCAGTGGATCCATGCTAGCAAACTCTTCAAGAAGAAGACAGTTGCTCATCCTACAGTAGCATAGGTTCTTTGAGATGTTGTTTTCCAAGTGGATCTTACAACTCAACCCTCATCTCTGCTTTTAGTAGTCCTCTCCAATATGAGCTTAAAATATGAGGGAACAGAGGAAAGGTTGCAACCCATCCATCCTTTTTGCCGCCTTAGGGGGCCACTAGAAAGTACAGGCCCAGTAGATGCTATTAGAAGAATACTCTGAGCTGGCACACATGGGGCTCATGCATACCAGTGGTGGGTTCCACATCACGTCTTGAAGAATCATAGTTACTAAAGTATAAGTCTCCCTTTGTCACATGGAAGAAAAATCAAAACATTGTTTGTTTTTAGTGCTAAAGAAGAAAAATGAGCACAGAAATGACTGCTCTGTTCTATTCCCACCAAGTGATGCTTAAAATATATCTGCAGGTATTGGAATAATTAAAGGGCAGTGCCTTCTCTTCTGTCTTATGGGATGGGTGACATTAGATGCATTTAACAGCAGTTGCCAAGCAGAAGAATCTATGAAATAAGAAACCAGTTGTTCTTCTTAGATTTTTCCCATGTTATAAACTTCCTTGTTGCTGCTGAACAGGGCATCAGTTATAGGTTCAGGACATTCTGTGAGCTTTCCAGGCCCCTGCCTTCAGCTTGGTTCCTCTTCTGTGAAAAAAAGAGCTCCTGCCATGTCTTACAAGTTAAGAAGTGCTAACTGTGCTGACTCAGGGCAAGGTATTGGGGATCAATAGCCTTCCTATTCAGAAATAAGGATGGTGGCTTCCCCAGTCAGGGCCATCTTAACACAAGTAAATGAAGTGTCTAATTTATATATTTATGAGAGTACTTTTCCTTTAACTTGCTTGGTAGTTTCATAGCGAACAGCTTGCATGCTATTAGGAAAGGGTTAAACATGGAGAATAATTGTGTTGAAACCAGGGACTTCCTGTGGATGAAGGATGTGCTTCCAGTGATATTTCAGCCAGAGTGGGCACCTTTGTGCAGTTAATTCCACTGTAGGCCACACTTACTTCTCAAAATTTAATACCCCTTTCTGGACACAAGGAAATCCAATTCTTTATTACTTTAGTCTTGTGAATGTGTCTTACTTCTGGTCTGGGAGTTAAGACTTAAGAGCCATCAGTGAAAACACCCTCTCAGTTGTTCTCTTACTTGTCACATCACCATCTTCAAAAGCAGATTTTTGTGTATATGATCCCTGCCCGAGTCTGGTCCTGCCCAGAAGTGCGTTTGAAATTAAAAGCTGCAGCAGATAGCTGGAGCACCTCAGTGGTCCAACACAGCTGTCTGTCACAGCTCTGTGCATCCCCAGTTAGTCTGTAGACCTGCATCTTCACAGTGAGCGAAGAGCCTAACCCTATGAAATATCTGGGTTCTGCTGAATCAATGGGAGTATCCGAGTGGTGAATACCATTTGGCTGTCTTGCTTCTTCCAAAGATTTATATGAGGATTCTGTGGATTGCCAATATTCAGAAACAAGAATTAGGTTGCATCATAGAAGGTTTCCAAGGTGGTAATGATGTAGGTTTAGTAATGGAGGATGTGTCTTGTAGATAGGGAGGCTAGATGTGTACAATAGTTGCAGAGTTGTGCTAATGCAGTCCTGTCATGATTTGACACCCTATTTATTCACTTTGGACTAGAACAAAGGGTAACTAATGTCTCAGATTAGTACTTTTACATGTATTTACCATCTAATTAAGATGCTGATGTGTGCTAGTAACCCATTCCTCTGAGCTGAATGGATGTTTTTTTTCATGTCACCACTCTCAAATACGTTTCTATTTAACTTCTTGCTGTTTCTAAAGAGATGGTGGCAGGGAAATATCTCTGCTACTTCCAGATGACTGTTTGTGAAAATTTGATCCATAATAACATCAAGAAAAGAAGAGAAACCAGACTGCAGCCTTAAATCACACTTGAGTTACATGAGCCTCTTTGAGGAGGTAACATTTCTACAGTGAAACTTCAGTGACTCTTATGCAGTTAAGATCATGAGATCACAGTTCGTACCTCATAGTAGATCATGTCAACTGGAGTGGAGCATTTACCTGCATTACAATGACCATGAGCATTACAATGACCTTTAATGCTAACCCTGCCCAATTTTAGATGCAACTGAGGAGAGTTGTTGCCATTTGATGGCTGGTGACACCACATCAGTTGGCAAGTTTCAGCCTTGTTCCTCACAGGAAGGTATCAGCACTTCAGCTGTTACCTTCATTGGCAGCCTTAGCAGAAGCAAAAGTTTGAGCCCAGAGCCTGAAAACTCACCCCTTTAAGAAGTGGTTCATTCTGATCACAGCTGAGGCACAAGTACAAAAGCATTCACCCACCATTTGTGCTGCTTCTTTTGGGAATACAGAATTTTTGTTTTCAAGTCTGTCAATCTGCACTTTTCACCAGGGGTAAATTAATCTGAGAGAGAACAAATGTTTTATAGAGCTCCTTTCTTTTTGTGACAGGTGACACTGCTGAGTGTGGAAATGACTGCACTGAAAGAAGAAAGGGATAGACTTCGAGGGTCAACTGAAGATAAAGAGATAAATGAACAGCTTCTGAAGGCCATCAGGGATCGAGATGAGGCCATTGCCAAGTAATCAGACTTGCATCTAAACCCAGAGACTAGAGAAGGGCTACAGTCTCAGGATTTCCCCATCAGTTTGTTCAAGGCAGTAGGTGCTTTTGGGGTAGCTTTGTTGCTGCACTGCTACCAGTAAATTGGCAATCAGTCCTCCCACTATTTCTAAGTGTCAGTGACGGGGCATAAGGTCTTGACCATACCAGTTGTCTATAACTGGCAGTTCTGTTCCTTCTTATATGAAAGAAACTCTGGAAATCATGTTTCTGGAGATTTTAAGGACAGATCATTTTGACAAGCCAAGGGATGGCTATTGTCCATTTAAGAAGGAGGTACAACTATTTGGACTGGCCCCATTCATCTTATTTTTCCTTTTCTCTTTTAGCCAAATACTCCTTGCTTTCTTTCCCCACATGTATCTGCTGCTGTACCTTCTCCAGCATGTTCCTTCTGTTTTGCTGTAATTCCTCTTTACAACTCTGCTGCTATAATCCTCTGGTTCCTCAGTTGTTTCTGTCCTTTTTCCTTATTTTACCCATCCTATTCCTCTGCTCCTGGCTACTTTTGCTTTCCTTTCCTTCTTTTACTCTGGGTTCTCTGAGCAACCCTCTTCCTACCTCCCCTCTGTGCCCCCCCCACCCCCCCCCCCCCCCACCCTCTTTTTTTT